CAAAATAGTTGAAAGAAAAAAACAGACTCTTAAATATAGGGAACAAATTGGTAGTCACCAGAGGGGTGGGGGGATGGGCAAAATAGTTGAACGGGGTTAAGAGTACACTTATCATGATGAGCACTGAGTAATGTGTAGAATTGTTGAATCACTATATTATACCCTGGAACTAATATAACACTGTATGTTAATCATAGTGGAATTAAAAAATAAAAGAAAAAAGAAAAAAAAACCACAGAGTATGATCAAATGTGATAAAGTGGTCAGAGCAGTTGAACCCATTGTGAGTTAATCAGTGAGAGTAAGCTACTTGGAGAGAGTAGGCCTGGTTTTCTGTAACTGCTTCTTGGATAGGTTAGCTTTCTGCTGATGGAAAATACTAAGCAAATCTGTAATCTTTGGTTGAATTTTTGACCAGAAATGCTTTTATTAAATTTCAACATACTTGTTTAAGAATCTCAACCTCTAGAGACTCTATCCTTAGGATGGCAAAGGAATATGTATTTATACATTTTTAAAGAATAATTAGGATTTACATTGTTTAGATTGACACCTTAAATGATTTGTTTACCATGTACTTAAAATATCTTCAAGAAGTTACTGCTTTTGGGGTGCCTCAGTCGTTAAGCGTCTGTCTTCGACTCAGGTCATGATCTCAGGGTCCTGGGATCGAGCCCCGCATCGGGCTCCCTGCTTCTCCCTCTCCCACTCCGCCTGCTTGTGTTCCCTCTCTCACTGTGTCTCTCTCTGTCAAATAAATAAATCTTAAAAAAAAAAAAAAAGTTACTGCTTTTGATATGCATTTTAAAATTTCTTTTGCTCTGTAATGACATTTGTGGTACGTTGTATATAGTGTTAAGAACTGCTTTTCTTCATTGAAATCCTTTCATAAAAATTTATGTTTACTTAACTTAATCAAATATAAGCAATATATCCAAGGAAATATTTGCTATTTTAATCTATTACAAGTAAATAGATTACATTCAATAATTTCTATAGCTATAACATTTTCAAAAAGGCATAGGTATCAAAAGAGCTTTAATCATTCTGAAAAATACAAAAAGTTAGAGTCCCATTTTTTGACCTGTAAAATACTCACTTCCTAACTCCTCTGACCCCGTTTGCAGCTCTTTGTATTGTTTTGTTCATCACCTATTTCTCAGTGAAATTTCTGCTGCCAGCCAGTGTTAAACAGGCTGCATATCAAACAAATTAGCCTCTCAGTGCTCTACTTTTCCAACAGCAATGGCATCTATCATTTTATTTAATTTCCCAGTAAGCAACCAGGGAGTTATTTCTGATTCTCTTCAGCTCTCAACTTTTGATCATATTCAACTCTAAATTCTGTTTCACATTTTTCATTTACAGTGGCTAAACCCACTCCTTTCTGTTGTTACAGTGGTCAGTCTCTTTGTCCCCATTCTTATCTGTTAAGCCTATAATAGGACAAATCTCTAAGCCCAATTCTGCTTTATTACATAAATGAGATTAATAACATTGAACTTAATTATCCAACCTTTTTATTTTTTTAAATTTTTTTTAGATTTATTTATTTATTTGACAGAGAGAGACACAGCGAGAGAGGGCACATAAGCAGGGGGAGAGGGAGAGGCAGAAGCAAGCCTCCTGCCGAGCGGGGAGCCCGATGCAGGGCTCAATCCCAGGACCCTGGGGCCATGACCCGAGCCGAAGGCAGACGCTCAACTGCTGAGCCACCCAGGCACCCCAAGTATCCAACCTTTTTAATACTCTATCTATAAAATAAAACTTCAGAGGTTGAAAATTTGTCACATCAAGTCTCTGTTCTGTTACTCTGCCCATATTGACAACCAAGGATTTATTTTTACCCAACTTGCCCATTCTTGCAGTTCTGTTTACCATTTTTCCCCCAGTTATATCACACATGTAGAAGTGGTTTTAATATAGTCCACATCCTTAAATAATTGTATCTAGCAAATGTACATAATTCTGTGGTTTAACTGTGCTTACCTATGAACTCAGTTGATACAGTAGGTTTTATAGTTCCCATCATCACTGTTTTACATTTGGAGAAAGTGGAAATTCACAAAATAAGTAGCACTTGAGACACAGGTGAGAATTGATTCTGAGGCTGTAAATATGTTTATAATTTTTTAAAATTCTAAAACATGACTTTACTTCAGTTTGCTTTTAAAAGCAAATACAGGTTTAAGATTTAACAATATTGATGTTAATTTTGTTATACTTCAAATGATATTAAATTGTGATAGGTGAATGTGCCTTTCTAGTAATTTCAAAACAATAATTTGATTGCATGATTTCACAGCTGAAAGCCATTATAGTGCTTTGATTTCCTGACGATGGGAACATTAATACAGAAAGAATTCAGACTATTTGCTGTGTTATAAAAATACCTATTACTAAAACTTATCTGGTACATTTCCATGTGGGCTAGGAAATCAGTATTAAGATATCCAACTACTTTCTATCCCTTGATATGACTTGGATAAATATTCATCAAATATGTCCTAATCATATTTCATGTTTCCTTTGGTGTTATATTTGTATACTAATTAATATTACATTGTACATGTTATTATACCATATTTGCATTGTATTGTATTTGTATAATATTTTGGAGAATTGTAAAGACTCAGAAGACCAGGTCTGAATTTTTAAGGAATTATTCAGAACTCTTGTAATACTAAAAACTATAGGGAAACATAATTTAAGTCAAGCCTGTGTTTCTCAGATCAGGTTATTTTTAAAATGCATTTTTTCTCAGGGGAAATCGGAAGGAGAGATGAACCGTGAGAGACTATGGACGCTGAGAAACAAACAGGGTTTTGGGGGGGGGGGTTGGTTAGCCCGGTGATGGGTATTAAGGAGGGCACGTACTGTGTTATACGAAAACAATGGATTGTGAATCATCACATCAAAAACTAATGATGTATTGTATGGTGACTAACATAACATAATAAAATTTTAAAAATTAAAAAAACCATTTTTTCTCATTATAAGACAAATATATATTTATCATAATATTGCAAAGACATAGAAACACAAAAAGAAGAAACTAAAATTACCTGTAATCCCTCTGTTCAGATAAAACCACCAAATTTTGGTCTTACGATTGTTTTTCCCAACAAATAAAGCAGTGTCTGGCACACAGTGGGTCTTAATAAATATAAGAAAATTAATAAGTGAGTAATTACTGTATGAATGATGGATTGTAGTATAAGCCCTAACAATTGTTTTTTTTTTTTCTTTTTGTAATGCAAGTGCCCCACTTAAACTTGATTGTCAAAGTGTCTACTTCAAAGATGGCTATTTCTGATAAAGACATTGTTAGCCATAATAGACTAGATGAAGGTCCAGGCCACCTCCCCTGACTGAAGCTCTTTTGTTTTAGACATCTTGGTTGATTTCAATTATTGAGCATTTGGGCCACTTGTTTTTTCTCTCCCCATGCTTTTAATTCTTATTCTTATTTTTTAAATTGACCAATAAAGAGTGAGCCCACAAAACCTTAGGCTTCCATCCTCAACCCCAATAAAAGCAGAACCCCAGCACTGTGATTGCTAGCTCTCTCTCTTTCTCTCTCTCTCTCTCTACCTGTGACCTCAGTGTGTGGCCCCCAGGTGTGCTGTATAATTTGCAGGTCTTAGAAGCAATAAACTTAATTTTTCAAAGTCTCCTGATGGCTATTGCTGAAGGGCATCTTGTAATCATAACCACAACATTGGTTATTGAGAGGCTGAGACCAGCACAAAATATTGATATACACCCATATGAATTTTTAAAACAAACCTAAGATCATAGAGTAGGCATTGCTTTTAACCTTTTTTCCCACTTACTGAGATACCTCCAGCAATTACACACATTCAGTATTCTAGTACCCTTCAAATTATTAAACAATTTAAATAGGTTAAGTATCATTTTAAGACCCACATCCTCTGAAAATCTATGAAAAGAGGTCACTTTAGCATTTTTTTCCTTTAAATTTTTTTATTGTTATGTTAATCCCCATACATTACATCATTAGTTTTTGATGTAGTGTTTCATGATTCATTGTTTGTGCATAACACCCAGTGCTCCATGCAGAACGTGCCCTCTTTAATACCCATCACCAGACTAACTCATCCCCCCACCCCCCCCAGAACCCTCAGAGTCCATCATCTCTCATGGTTCATCTCCCCCTCCAGTTTACCCACCTTCATTCTTCCCTTCCTGCTATCTTCTTCTTTTTTTTTTCTTAACATATATTGCTGAGCACTGTGAATTGTGCAAGACTGTTGAATCACTAGCATTTTTTGAATTAGCACACCATACCTGTCATTGATATTGCCCTGCTTCCAACCTCTACTGGATCCCTACAAGTCCAGACTGTCCCACAATTGGAGGCAATCCATCCTTCCACCACTATTGACTTTATTCCCTGACCTCACACCAGTTTCCTCCTAAGAAATTATTTACCATTTCCCAGCAATGCTAAGCTCTTTCACTGTGGGAGCCTTGCCACACGCTTTTCCTTCTGTCACAAATGCTAGTCTCCACTCCTCCTTCCTGAGAACACACATGCAGCCTTCCAAATGCAAATCAAAGGTTTCACTCCTGGATCCTTTGTCACAGTGACCTTCAGGAGTCAGCACAAATTACATAGAGTAAGTCACCTAATAGAAATGGAGAGACCTGAAATTTTAAGTCAACAGAAAGAAAAAAGGAACATTTTGATTTGCAGAGGCAGTCGAAACTGTAGACGAAATTATTTCCCTGTTGTCCTATTAATAAGAATAAGTTATCTGAGGGACGCCTGGGTGGTTCAGTCGGTTAAGCAGCTGCCTTCGGCTCAGGTCATGATCTCAGGGTCCTGGGATCAAGTCCCGCATCGGGTTCCCTGCTCAGTAGGGAGCCTGCTTCTCCCTCTCCCTCTGCTTGTGCTCTCTCTGTCAAATAAATAAAATCTTTAAAAAAAAAAAAAAGAATAAGGCATCTGAGTCAGTACATTCTTTTCTCTTTAGGAAACAGTGGCGTTTAATTCTTCTCTTCTGAGACCCCGTGTGATTGGAGAATGGATTGGTCGAGAAGAGAATGATGCTGACCCACTAGCCGCTGAAATGCTACAGCCCCCAGTTCCAAGAAGTAAAAATGAACAATGGGAAAATGAAGATAATAGCTCTAGCCCTGCAGGAAGGTGAGATGAGATGCCTTCTAAGATTCTGAATATTGTTGATCGTTAAAAGCTAACAGGGAAATAAATCCAAGGGTGTGATTTTGATGAAATAACTTAGCAATTTTATATAGAAGATTATGCTGGGTTGCACATGAGATAAAAATTAATTTCTCTTTTAAAATTAAAGTTTTACTAGATTGCTTTTAGATTTTGGTTTTAATTTTTTCTTTATATCTAAGAAAATCACCATCTCTTTGCTACTAAAACCAAATAGAGAAATAATTTCAAAGACATGGGTTGTCAGTCAAGACCCACTATAATGCTGGGCAGGGAATGGCTGACTATTAAGAACTGGAGATGAAGGAGCTTCTCATTTACCAGAGAGATGTAGTTAATCAACAAGAAGAAAACTATTTATAATAGACCACATGAAGCAGAGTTAATGTAGAATAAGAGAGAAAAACTTCCATTTAGAACCATTTAAATTTAGAGTTGGTAACTATGATTGAACATAATTCATTTTCTTTGTTTAATTTTGGAAGCATTTATGATTTTTGAATTTGAAAGTTTCATATTTATTAGAAAAAAGTATATTCAGAACAACCTTTTTCTTGTTTTGCAACACCAACCGCAGTGAGTAAAACCTCAAAATGAAAACTTCCACAAGGAAGTTGGAGTGAAAAAGCATTATGGAGGCACGGCTTACACGAGCCTGAGAAAATGGATTTAAATGCTCATGAATTGAATGTAAGAGAGCCACAACTTTCTTTGGGTGCTGCTAGATGACCACCACAGAAGAGTTTTTCCTATGCATAGCATAGCCACAGTAACTTTGTATTTCCTACATTAAATTTGGCAGCAACCAATAACTGTTCTTTCTCAAGGAGAAAATTGTATTTTCTACAATGTAATAGCTTTTGGGGGGTTTTTACTTTGACTTATCACTTGGCTAGAAGGAAGGAAATTCAGAATACTCATTAATGTGCTTTAGGCATATAGAAAATTGATTCTATTTCCATGAGAAATAACTTTTAAATTATTTAAATAGTTGAAGTGTGGTCCCATGTAAGGAGAAGAAAGCCATTTTAAAAAATCCATTTACCTTCTTTTGTGAAATGCCAGATCAATTTCACCTGTCAATGAAGGTAATTTTATTTTTAATACCAGACTTATGAAACCCACTAGACCTTCATCTTTAGTCATTGCCAGATCTTTAACGTAAAGTAGAGAAATGTCAACTTTCATTTTGCTTTCATTTAGTCATAATAATAATCGGAGCTATTTATTGCAAATGTTAGTGCTTCTATTTTCTTCCTAGCTTCAGTGAGCTCTGCTTCCCTCTTGAATACCCAATAAAGGGGAATCTTTCCTTCAATCCAAGTCAAATCCCTTTCCCAGAAAACTCAACCCATGAAGACCTCTCTCAAGTATTTGTTATGAAAAGTTTTTTGTAGTGTTACTGTTCTCTATCTTTAAATCATGAATTGAGGTATTCTGTATGAAATGAAGACAGGTGAAATCCCACCCCGATGCCCTATCAGAGCAGAAAGAATGCATGCATATCTGAACTTAGTTTAAAGAGTAGCAATAAACTATGGGTTAGAAATGGTATCTCTCACATCTTCTAATACCAAACAGGATTCTGAATTTATACCAGGAACTCACATAGCATTAGATTTGAATTGGATGAATAAAAATGGATTGGGAGAAATTTTTTAATGACTCTAGAGGCTATAACTAGAGCATTAGCTTTTGCCTTTAAAGAGTAATGAACTTGTAGTATAACGGTCTTAAACATTAACAGGCTAAGTGGTATTCTAGGCTTTGGAAGGAGAAGATTTAATTTTCAAGGATGACTTCTTCCATTTTTCTCTCCCCTACTGGGCCTGGTGCATTGTCATTACCAATAGACATCTGTTGTGTGAGTGAAGGAGGCACATAGAAGGCTGTGAGTAGACATCTGCTAAATAAAGCTTATTTATAAGAAGGGTTGTTTATAGTCTATCCTAACTTTTTGCCCCTTCCTATCACAGTTTTTCCTGTTAATTGCTCAAGTCTAATTTGAATGGCTGTTATTACAACACTCCATCTTTAGTACATAGCCAACTTTTCTCCTTAGGTCCTGCATATGGGACATTGTATGAAGAGGGTCAGCAACTTTATTACACAGAGCTGTCACCTGAAGGGTTAAGTGCTGGTTAAAATGAAAGCAGTTATGAGGGCAATATGGAGAAACTAATAGTAGTTTAGTAGTTGCCAGGGATTAGAGACAAGAGTGACTGACGTGGGGTCCCTGACCCCTGCATGGTCTCTGGATGGACCCAAGAGATCCCTGAATCTCTTGAAATTAAATTATGTGGACAAGGCTCTGTGGACATGGGCATTTTTCTGACACATCTTTCTTAAATTTTTCAAAAGGTTCTATTAAGTTTAAGAAAGAAATTAAAGCATCTAAGCAAGAAAACAGGAATTTATAAAAGAGAGAGGTGCATACATTGGGGAATAATTGAAGGCTTTCTCATACCACCAATTGGCATGAATTGCTATGGCTTATCTAGCCATTTAGTGGGAAATCCTATGTGTTTATTGCACATTTAGAGATATTAAAAATAATCACACATTGATAATGTAAATGTAAATAAAAATTGAGTGTAATAGATCTATATAATTCTGTTTTAAGCTATCTTTTTTTTCTATTTTAAGCCATCTTAATTCAACTTTGCAATAGCTGGGTAATGGATTTCTTAAAATTACTAGCTAAATTGTAATGTGAATTTGTAAATAGGCTTATCAAGCCTTGAAAGCCTGATGAAGCTCCTCTAAGCTTAACCACTTCATTAAAGCAAGAATAATATCAATAACTATTATAGATCTGGTGAATTGGCTTTGTTAAGTGAGCATTGTTATTAAATGGTAAGTATGCCATAAAATGAATAGAAAATCTTACAATTTTGAAATATGTATTAAATATTAAAATAAAAGCTAACTTCACTTTCCATTAAGAAATGTTTCTTTTCATCAAAGCTCCTAATTTCTTCTGATGTATCTGTTAACAAAACCTGGAAAAGTTCCCCTTCTTTTAGAGCTTCCTCATTTGGCAGCAAAAGACAAATAATAAACAAGCGAATATACAAATATATACCATAAATTAAAGTAGTGATAAGTGGCAAGATGGAAAATAAACCAGAATAAGAAGGAAGAAAATTAATAAAGGGCACTATTTTACATAAGAAGTCCAAGAAAAAAGAACCTTAATATTGTCAGATTTTGGCTATTTTGGACATGATAGAAAATATGTAATACATATGCCAGAAACTGAATTAAGTTTAGTAATTTAGGGTTATTCTAAATGTAAATTTTAAGGAGAAAGAATATTGATTAATCAAAAATTAATCTGTCAAAGGAATCAAAGAACAGAGGCCTTAAAAATATCTAAAATATATATTAAAGAATGTACCTTATGATTCACACATTTCTTTTTTCAATCCAAAAGTATGTAACTAAGTCATGCATTTATTTCGGAATGTTGATGAGGTCATTTTGATATGTTCAAAATTTGTTCTTTCTCATTTATTCATTTATTTCTTTAGGAAATACATATCCTAACTCAAGTTATTATTTTATGAAACACATTGCTAGTTACCTATGGACTCATAGACTCATAGGTGGTCTCTTACGAGACAGGCAACATTTTGGACTTACTGTCTAGGACTCATAGCCTAGCATTATCTTCATGACCAAACCATGTATTTTCATGAGACTCAGGAAAACACTTGCTTCAACCTTCATGAAATGATCTTGGTCATTGTTGGCTGTTGAATAGGAGTTATGCATTTTTTTAATTTATTTTTTTTAAGATTTTATTTATTTTGACAGAGAGAGAGCACAAGCAGGGGGAGCAATAGAGAGAGAGAGAGAAGCAGGCTCCCTGCCGAGCAGGGAGCCCGACGCAGGGCTCAATCCCAGGACCCTGGGATTATGATCTGAGCCGAAGGCAGATGCTTAACCATCTGAGCCACCTAGGTGCCCGGGAGTTATGCATTTATAATCTGCCATTTGTTCCTTATCTTCAACATCCCAATCTACGTAGTTTTCCTTTTTCTGTTTCACTGCCAATATATTTCCCTCGATTTTCATATCTGTCAAGTTGTAAGACTCATATACATCTTCTTAAATTCTTATTTTATTTAGAGTATTAAAAAATGGGGTTCAGGAAGAAAAAGTGAATATGTGCTAGATACTAGGTGGGACCAATATGAAAAAGAACATCCCAGATTCAAAGTACTTACTTTCAAATGAGGAGAATGACAAGGAGATATGTCTTATTTCTCTAGTACAGTACCCACAATCCCTGGTATATAAAAAGCACTTAATAAATGTCTGCTAAATTAATTATAAAAACACCACATCTAGACATGTTTAAAAAAAAAGACAGAGCTCTTATGCATAAACCAAAATGCAACAATTCAGTGTGAAACTTTTTATGATCTCTTCAACAACCTGGGCCTTATTGCAAAGAGAGTCCTTTGATTTCTGACTAGAGTCGAGAGGAAGGGCACAGATTCTGCCTGCTAGGCTGCAGTGGTGAACTAAACAAGCTTAGGAGATGGGTCAAGAGAGGAATAATCCAGTTTTCCACCAAAAAGAGCACCTGGGGTCAGATAAAACTAATACTTACCAACCTGTGTTCAGAAACAAGAATATGAAACAAAAAAAGCAGCATCAGGCACCCAGGGAAGTGTGGGGTCAGGAGGAAGGGAACAATGGTCAGAATGTAGGCCATCAGGAGTGGAAGGAAGGTTCCACCTAGATAGGTAAGCTGGGGGGGGGGGTAGCCACGTTAAACCATCCTTTTCAATCTGATCTGGTTTAGAATTTATCTTTTTGAACCAAAGTAAAATGCAGTCCTAGAGTATATTCACCACATTGAAGTATTAACTGCTCTTCTTTTTTGTAAGGCCCCTTTCTGATTCCCTTTCTTTCTATGTGGGATATACTGCTCAAGGAAACACATGTAAATATCTAGGATGCTGCACGTTGTGTTCATTGAGCACATAATGGTATTAACTGCCATTTAGTGGCTGCTGTCAGGGCTTTATATCTCTTACTTCATTTCATCCTCATGAAACATTATTATCTGTATTTTAGGAATAAGGAAACTAAGTCCTGAAGCAGTTGCATCAGTCCCAAGATTGTACAACTATTAAGTAGCTGAGCCAGTCTGTCTTGCTGCAAATTCTGTGCCCTTAAGTGCTTTGCTATGCCACCTTTCTTCAGAAAGGAGTTCTAAGAATCCCCTTATCATCAAAGTTTAGGTTCGAGGTTGGGATGAGAGGGGGTCCAGAGCCCTAAGTGCTCTTAGAAAGACCCCGCACCCCATCTCTCCCCATCCCACTCACCACTTGTCTGCAGTAAGAGTCCTGCTTCCCTGAGGCAGGGTGGTATTTTCTCTCTAATGTTGTAGTTTTCACTTCTACAGTCTATAGGTTATGGAGCTGGAAAAGAGGAAGGTATCATCCTTGCTCCCCTTTCCTGCTTGTGGACCTTGCTGTCTCCTTTCTCCCTAAAAAAAGTCTCTGGTTCTGAATTCCATGTTTTTCACATGGTAATCTTCTACCACTTCTTGTAGCAATAATTCATCAATTCCCAGGTCATTCCCTTTTTCCTAAATATGCAAGCATCCGGCTCAACTGACACTCCCCAACACCCTTCCTATCTTGATGAAGTTAATATCCACATTGATGATTCTTCCCCAAACCTAGCCTCTCCTTCCTTTGCCTGCACTACACCACTGACCCTGAATTCCACCCTACTTCAATCACTTATTCCCTCTGTTATATGTAGGTCTCATGATTATTAACTGCAAACTCTAATGTCAATTTCTGTATATTTCACACTCTGACTACACCTCCTGTCTTTCTAGTTCATTTCCTCCGGTACCCAGCTTTAACTGGGACCCAAATACACTGGTTCCACTGAGTTTCCCTTGCCACTCATCAAGTTTTTATTTTTGGCTCATTATTGTGATCTATTTATTGAATATATCCTAGTTCCCTTACCTCTCTTGTCCTTTGTTTTCCTTGTGTGATAAAACTATCGTATTTAAATCTAACTCTTTGCCTGTTTTGTGGCTGAACTGGCATAGACTGGAGAAGAACACATGGCCACACTGACAGGTGTCACTGTGAATTCGTGGCCACCAAACTCCAGAAAGTCATTGGTCCTGCCCAAAGATACTCTGCATTCACCTAGTCTGTTCACATGTCCATGCCCCTCAATGATGATTGCATGCCTTTTCTTGTCTCCTCAAACCTCCAGCGCTTCTCCTCAGTCCTAATGTTCAACCGATGACCCTTCCAGGAATGTAAATGTCATAGTCACTCTGGAAAATAGCCTGAGAGTTTTATATAAAACTAACCATGCAAATACCATATGACCCAACTGTTGCACTCTTGGGCACTTGTCTCAAATAAATGAAAACTTACGTTCACACAAAAGAATGTATACAAATGTTCATAGCAACTCCATCATAATAGCCAAAAAACTTAACCTAGGTGTCCTTCAATGTTTGAATGGTTAGATAAACTGAAGTATATCCATGCCATGGGATACTACAGAGCAAAGAAAAGGAATGGACTATTGATGCAACAGCATGAATGAATCTCCAGGGATTTAGAATGCCTGAAAAAGCCAATCTTAAAATTGTATGATCCCATGTATATAATATTCTAGAAATGACAAGATTAAAAGAATGGAGAACAGACTAGTAGTTGCCAGGGATTAGAGACAGGGAAGAAGGCATATGGCGGAAAGCATGAGTGGCTAGAAAAGAGCCTTGTGGTGTTTGAAATGGTCTGTATCTTGATTTTGGTGGTGGATATATGATACACAAACCTACACAAGTACTAAAATTACCTAGAACTAAATACACGCAGGCATACACACACAAATGAGTACAATTAAAATGGGAAATCTGAATAAGATTGGAAAATCGTATCATTGTCAGGATCCTGGTTATAATATTGTATTCTAGTTTTATAATGTTATTGAAGGAAACAGTGTAAAGAGTGCACAGGATCTCTTTGTATCATTTCTTAGAATTACATGTAAATCTATAATTATTTCAAAGCCAGAAAAACAGTTAAAAATGTTAGTGATCTGTTGAAAACACCTTGAGATTTTTTTTTTAAAGATTTTATTTATTTATTTGACAGAGAGCGAGACAGCAAGAGAGGGAACACAAGCAGGGTGAGTGGGAGAGGGAGAAGCAGGCTTCCTGCTGAGCAGGGAGCCCGACGCGGGGCTCAATCCCAGGATCCCAGGATCATGACCTGAGCCGAAGGCAGACACTTAACGACTGAGCCACCCAGGCACCCCCACCTTGAGATTTTTGACAGTCCACCTCCCCAAACAGTCTTTCAGCAAAGGGCATTAGTATCCACTGATGATTCTTACCCGAACAGTTACTATGTTGGTGGTTGCAAAATGGTGATTTTCTGATTCTGTCTTTCCTTCTACATTTATTAACTAGCATTAATGTGGAAAAATAAAAGCTTTTTCTCCGTCCCTATTTTTCCTGGCCTTCTCTAACATATTCACCATAACTTGGAGGTGAACCAATGAGGTAGGGCTCATTGATCTTTGCCCACTGATGACATACAATGTCATTTTGCTGTTTTCCATTGTCTTCTTAGACAGTGTTAAACCTGGTACTTCTATTAAGACAGTTTGAAATGTTCTGGTCTGTGCCCTGAAATTTATCTGGTTGGTTCTATGTTTTTGTTTTTTACCAAGGTACCTCTGCATTTTGGCCTGGTGGCAGTGGGGACGATTCATTTAACCCATTTGCCTTATGGGCCCTCCTTCTGAATATAGAAAAGATTATCTTTCCATCCTGCTTGGGGAAGACTTCTTCTACATATCATGTCTTTTTCTTTCATGGGGTGACATTTGGCATTTCCTTCCTTTGGGCAACAACATGAAAAGAAATTGGATTACAGAGAAGAGAAAAACTTTGGGACAGTTTTTGAAACTATATATGATTGCTCTTTGGACTTGTAAGTTGTCTAGTCAGACACTGTCTTGAGAAGTTTGGGGAGAGAGAACCATGAAAGATAGCATTTACCCAAAGGAGCCCAGCTTTATCACAAAGAAACTCTTCCAAATTTACAGACTCTCTAGACTGGAAGAAACTGAGAAACATTTATTTACCAGTTCTGGATCCATCCTTTCTTTTACCCCATCCTACCCCAAGATCTAGGCAGCATGATAGAACAATGAGGAAATTTATTTTAATCATAGAAATTAAAATTTGGGGGTCTGTGGGTGGCTCAGTTGGTTAAGCGGCAGACTCTTGATTTCAGCTCAGGTCATGATCTTAGGGTCCTGAATCAAGCCTCAGGTCATGCTCTCTACTCAGCAGGGAATGTGCTTGAGGATTCTCTCTCTACCTCTCCCCCGACTCGTGCTCTCTCTCTCAAATAAATCTTTTTTTTAAAAAATTAAAATTTTCATTTAAAATAATCTTGTCAGGGGTGCCTGGGTGGCTCATTCAGTAAAGAGTCTAACAATGAATCATGTGGATCGCTATATCAAAAACTAATGATTTATTGTATGGTGACTAACATAACATAAAAAAAAAAAAAAGAGTCTGCCTTCGGCTCAGGTCATGATCTTGGTGTCCTGGGATCAACCCCCACGTTGGGCTCCCTGCTAAGTGGGGAGCCTGCTTCTCCCTCTCCCTACACCCCGCTTGTGCTCTGTCTCTCCCTTTCTGTCAAATAAATAAATAAAATCTTTAAAAAAATAATCTTGTCATAGTATGTTAAAATAGTTGTCCCATTACATTTGTTTTCCTTGACATGGATTTGTTTGTAAGTCAAGGAATTTCATATAATAATCTGGATTTTCTGCCTCATCTTTTAAAAAAAATCAGAAAAATCCAGCCACCCAATCCCTCCCAGCCCCCACCACTCCAGCAACCCTCAGAGTGTTTCCTGAGATTAAGGGGCTTTCATTATGACATAGTGACAATTGGTAGGAGCTGATTAGCACCTCCTCCCTTAAATGGGGCAGGAGTTTCCGTTTGCCATATTTCTCACCTATACCCCCTTGCGATATGGTTAATGAGGTACCAAAGGATGTCTAGGAAAGAAGACAGTCTATATTTCCATTATCCTTAGAGAAAATATTACTAATATGCCTATAATTTTACATAGCAAAATAATCGAATGAAAATTTGGTTGTAGGGGCACCTGGGTGGCTCAGATGGTTAAGCGTCTGCCTTCGGCTCAGGTCATGATCCCAGGGTCCTGGGATCAAGTCCCACAAATGGGCTCCTGGCTCAGCGGGGAGTCTGCTTCTCCCTCTCCCTCTGCCTCTCCCACTGCTCATGCTCTCTCTCTCTCTCTCTCTATCTCTGTGTCTCAAATGAATAAATAAAATATTTTTTAAAAAAAGAAAGAAAATTTGGTTGTAGATTTCTTTATTTACCACAGCTAACTGATAGAGTTGTCATCGCTGAAAACTAACATTTAAATATTTCTTCAGCTTAAAGGTGGAGCCCAAGACTAAAGGATTAAAACAACAGCAACAACAACATAAGAAACTTCTGGCAGCAATGCTCTCTCAAGATTCTTTTGAGTCTCTCCACAGCCCTACCCCATCTGTAACAGAAGAAGATATTGATAATGAAGATGATGCAATGGAATTGCTGGGTAATTTTAAAAATTAATAATTTCTCCTTCTTCTCTGGCATTGTAAAAATGTATAGTGATTAAGAGATTTTAAAGTTTTTGAATAGTTTTGTCTTAGGGGAAAGAAATCGTTTAACACATACTTTAAACGTTAGCCTTTCACGAAGTTGCATGTAAGAACTAAGTTGAAATCACCTAAGCATGTGAAGTATTTATTAGACTGTATTTTGTGCTTTGTATATGCAGCACTTTACCTTCTGACTCCTTGCTCAAGCTTTATTACATGTGCAATTGTGATAAAAATTCAAGTCTGTCTGCTTTATTCTCTGATTATGATTGCCTTGATCACCTTTTGTCTATAAAATATATCCAAAATACATATTTCAGCCCTCATCCCAAGATATTCCCCTGTTGTTTCAAGGATGTTTTAGAAAAATACAGTAAAATTTAGAGAGACAGATAGTAAATTAGTGTTTTATGTCTTCCATAAGTTAGAGGAGAGTTTGCAAGGTTTCAGTGTTTTTATAGGCTTGTTACTTTCATGAAAAACCTTATTAGTGTTGTATATATAGGGAACCCTTTATATCGTAAATGAAGTAAATGTATGTTTTTATTTCACCATAAATCTTTGGATAGTAGTTTTTTAAAACTGAACTTTCCTTTTATTCTGAGTCATTAAAGCAGTTTCCAAATACTTTGTAACCATGTACTGAAGTGAATAAATGATGTAATCATTTGAAAGCTGCAAATAAGTTTAACATAGAATAAGGAGTCCCAGAAATATACAGACATTTAAAAAAAATTTTTTTCTAAACCAGCTTCCTGGGTTTTAAGTGTTTATGGCAGTAAAATATTATCATGTTAAAAAATGGTATAGGTCTTCTTGCATAGACCTACAAATGTGTTATTTACTCAGTGATGGCAAGGTCACTGATGTTTTCTGATTTTATAATACTGCGTTCACTCTAGCATTGAGGAGACTGTCATGGCATTTTCACTTCATGATGTTCATCTGGTTTTTTGTTTTTGTTTTTGTTTTTAAGAACAGTGAAGTCTGGGTGTTTTTTTAAGGAATCTCATCTCCCCACCTCCAAATCATTAATGTGGCAGATGTGCCAGATGTTGTAGTACCCTCATTCAGCTTCAATTCAGCCAATGTTTACTAAGTACTTACCATGTGCTAAGCACTGAGCTCAGTCCTAGAGACGTAAAAATAAAGTAATCTTGGATCTTGTTTGCAGGAACTTTACATTTCTAGTGTTTGAAATAAAAATGTAAATACATCATTCTAGTAGTTTTTGCGACAGGTCCCAATTTGATTAAGCAGACAGTTTAATGTAGGAATAACACCTAATGCGGAGGTAGGGGATGGTAACCAGGGAATGCTTCGTAGAGAAACTGATTCCAGTGGTGAGGTGAGTCCTGGAGGACAAGTAGATGGAAGTTCAGCAGGCAGAGTGTGGTCATTAACCTTGTAGGTTTGTGCTTGTAGGAATGGACTCTTTTGCTCTTGTGCTCCATAACTGCGCCTGTAAATTGTTCCTTTGCTTTGGTCAGTAACAGTGAAGGGGGCAAGGCTTGAACCATGACTGTCAATGGAAGGGCCAGGAGGTTGTTCATATAACATTAATGTTGGCTTTTTGGTACATCAACATTGGGTTGTGCTGATAGTGTTCTTTCTCTGCCTTCCTTTACATGACAGCTCTTGGTCAGTTGATATCCACAGGAGGGCAGTTACACTTAACTTGCAAAGATAATCTTTTGAAGAAATCCAGGCATGCTCCGAATAACTTTGGATTTCCTGATAGCCTCAGGAGTATCTCATCAGAGTGGAGGAAATCATAACTTTCAGTGATGTTGAGGAGTTCTTTATGAAAACTTAGGTGTCACTCAGTGCTGGTACCCCTTAGATCTCAGCTCCTCTGAAGTTTCTAGTCTCCCAAGTTGAAGACCAGACTGTTAGGTTTTGGAGACTATCTAATATGAACAGTTAATAGCTGGTCCTCATTTTTTTTTTTTTTTCATTTAGACATTTTAAATGTCTGAGCAAATTTAAGAATGAGAAATATTTGAAAGTTTGGACTTTATATCTCAGCATAGGCAGCTATAGTATACTAATGCTGGTCTCTAGATTATGAGATTTTTCTGCCATGACATCAGATGTTCCAAGTCTACTGGGCTATCCTCTAAAATAATGCCATATGCAACCCTGTTGCCTAGTTGTCTCAGTGAATAAAGGTCATATAGCAGAAAGTTGTATCCAAAAGATTGTTTTGCCCAGAAGTTCATTAATTATGTAAAATGGTATTTGGATGTGAAATATATTTGTCTTTAAGACCAAAGTATACCTATCCATTCAATTATTTGGAAAATACATATTTAAAATACAGGTTCAGTTTTCTTCAAAAGTAGTGTATATAAATTCATGACTTAAAATTTTACTTATGCTTTTATCTAAGATGATGGTTAATCTCTTACATGAAATCAAACAGATGTACGTGAAAAATTTCAGTTAATATAAAAGTTAAAACTTTTTTTCAGTCATGATATAGTAATGGATGAATGATTAATATGGATGAGTATGGGTATAAAATACAATGATTATTAAGTTATTCATTTTAAGACCTTATATCTTCAGTAGCCATGTATGTCTCTATTAGTATTTCAGTAGATTTCAATCCCTACACTAATCAGTTAATGTGATATTGCTAAATCAATTTAGAAACTATATAATGCCTACTTTCCCAACCCTTTTAATATTAGATTTCAATCATGTTGTTTATTATTAAAGAATTTTCAGACAGTAATTTTTGAAACCCTGATCCCAGAGAAACATATGTGATTGTACATATTTGAGGAAAATACAAATGCTAAGCTCCTGAAAAGTTATTTGAAATCAAATTTTAGTACATAGAATCATTGTAAAAGGCAAGAGACATCTGGTATTTAAAATATCTTTTGCAAATCTGCAACATTGTGTAGAATGGGTTTGCTATAACTTATGTGTTTTCAGTGTATAACTTGTCTATATCAGGTATAACTGGCTGAAAAATGTATTATGCCCAAGAGTAGTCTGTACTCTTTGTGAAGTGATAAATAAATGAGAAGTGTCATTATTAGTTAATGTCAGTGTAACAAAGGATTGTTCTTCAGTAAAACTGAAGGGGGAAAATAAGCCTTTTAGTTGAATAAATAGAAGTCAGTAAAACTTCTTATCTTAATTTGTTTGTTAAGGAATGTATCATCGATAACACATACTGGTTAAGATTTAATTCTTCACAGTTGTTTAATTGTATGTTTTTGGATTTCTATTCCAAGTGTACTGGGCATATGAAAATATAGCACATACAGTGTCTATATTTTTTAAGTAGATTAAACATTTACTGTAAGATTGCTTTAAATACTACTTTTAAATTCATAGCACAAAAGTAGTTTAAATGGAATTAATATATAACAGAGAATAAAATATCCAAATTTCTGGAATTTTAAGATATAACAATTTTAAGCACCACTGAAATTGGTACTCTAATTACAGAAGACATTGAATAAAGTATCTACCAACTCACCTCAAAGTAAGTAGTTCTCATCCTCAAAAATAAGATATTCCCTAATATTTTAGTAACTATGCTGAAAATTAAGGATCACAATGATTAAATTTGCATATTTTTGAAAGTTATTAAAATCGATAATTTTTCAAAAGTAGAAAAACAAATTACAGTGGTACAGCAAGGGATTTATAAAAAGCCTATATGTATCTTTTACTTCATTAACTTTCACAGAGAATTTTAGGAACTTCACTAATTTAAAAAAGATATTTCAGCTTTTAAATATAAGCTCATTTTCATTACACGCATTTTTATTTTATTTTTGATGAAATGCTAATTGCAGTTATGTGTTTATCTTCTATATAATTTTACTCCCTTGAAAATATCAGAATTATTTGAAAGGCACAAGTATTATTCTTACACATTTTAGTATAAGATAATTACTTAAAAAATTTTTTTTGGCTTTCTCTCAGAATTGATGATGAGGCAAATATCTAAAAATCACATTCCAGAGATGCTTAAAAAAGGAAAGCAGCATTAGTCATGATTTATACTTTCTGGTCTTAGAAAGTATAATCATATAAATTTAATTAATCATATAAAAATTAAAACTAACGTATTACCAAAAGCAAACAAAGTGATTACAAATCACCTTTTATATATTTGTTTTAAATTAAGTAATTAAGAACAAGTGTAATTATACTGCTATTCTTTGCAGAATACAGTAATTTCTAAATTTCTAAAACCCCAATATTTTACCAGATTACGTGAAATGTTTAATTTTCAAGAAGAACTCATTGCATTAAGGCAGTCTTTTGGCAAATTCTTTTGCATTGTGACCAATCTTTCTTTTATTTTTTTCTTTAAATTTTTTATTGTTATGTTAATCACCATACATTACATCATTAGTTTTTGATGTAGTGTTCCATGATTCATTGTTTGTGCATAACACCCAGTGCTCCACGCAGAATGTGCCCTCTTTAATACCCATCACCAGGCTAACCCATCCCCCCACCCCCCTCCCCTCTAGAACCCTCAGTTTGTTTTTCAGAGTCCATCGTCTCTCATGGTTCGTCTCCCCCTATGATTTACTCCCCTTCATTCTTCCGTGACCAATCTTTAAAATTAAACATTTACAAAAAATTAAAAAAATAAAATCTTTAAAAAAAATAAGTAAATAAAATTAAACATTTACTTTGTGTTCTGTTTTTTTTTCCCCCCAGTTGGAGGCTTCTTAAAGCAGAAAGCACCCATATTTACAGAATAAAAACATCTATTTCACTTAGTGAAAAATGCTGTCATTCAATGATGTTAGAAAAAGAGGGGAGAGGACCATAAATGTTAAAAAAAAATCTACCTACCTACCTATCAATATACTTATATTCTAATGATATTAATTATGTGAACTAGTCTAAAGCACACATAAAGTTTGTTTCCTTTGAGTATTGATCATTGGGAATATCAGGACAATAGAAG